GACCCCTGATAAGGTTCTGATCCATCTCTAACTGCATAGACCTCAGCTTCTCCTGAAGATATTCGCACTCTGCAGCAACCCCTTTGCCCAGCTCAAGCTCTTCGTCCTTTGCACGAAGGTTCTCCTCGAGCGCACTACTTCTGCGGATAGCCTCCATCAGTTGCTGGTCCCTCTTCTCCAGCTCCTCGCCGAGGGATCGAGCATCAAGGTTCACCTTCAGCCTGTTGCGCCCCCTTTTTTTTCTCCTCCGCGGGGAGGAGTTCGGGTTTCGACATTCACGGGGTGTAATGACTCATTTCCTTTTGGGAATTGGGTATTTGAAGAGTCGCCACCTAACGAGTTAAGGTGCGTTAGGGCACCTAGAGTAATTAACTCTTGGGTTGGTTTGTATTACCAGAGATTAGGGTAAGGGCTCGAGGTAACCTCGAGGGGAAGGTGTTAGGCACCCCTCTTGGTCCATAACTATGGGTCCCGACCGAACTTATATTCACAAATCAGTCCATTACAAGTAAATAGTTAAATCAAATAGGTTGCAAGTAAAGCACGATAGAGTAACTCAAGTAGTAAGATAAAGTTTTGAACAAGTTGTAAAACAAAGTTTTAAAGAAAGGATTTGGTAAAGAGGGGTCCTAGGTTGGTTATCCTATAGGATCACGTCAGTACAATGCCCGGTAATCACTCCGTGGAAAGGGGATACATGTGGCATTAGCGCACCGGTCATCATATCCATATCTACCCTTCCTATCCCCTTATTGGTCATGCAAAGCGAGTGTTTGGTCACTGATTCCTATTGCGTGTTGCTACTCGTCCCTTCTTAACGGTCCCGGAGGGTCTTAGGACCTCTACCTATGGGTGGTTCTAGACGTACCCCTAAGGGTTTAAAGGCAAAAATCTAAGGCGACAGTCAAAAACATTTAGGACTTTCACATAATGGGAGCAATTAAGAGGCTCACAATTTCCTCCTCAAACAAACATACAAGTAGCACGACTCAAACACAATTAAGGTCTTTATTAATCAAAGTCCTAGAGCAGGATTTCTAAGTGATTATGCAAAAATAGACCACTTTCAGATTCGGAAGTTATAACCTAATAGTTGCCTAGTGACTCCTTCTTAACAGCTTATTAGAATCAGAAATGTTGAACGATGGAAACAACTTCAGGGAAATGCAGGTTTTGAAAAAATGCCTTAAGGCTTGCCTATGTGCAGTACTGTGTCTATATATTAATGCAGAGACAAACAAGTTTTCGAAATAGACCCTTTTGACACCTGTAAGCAGAATATCTAATGAGGTTAAGTCAAATTTGAAAGAACTAGTTTCCGGAAATGTCATCACTTAATAAGGCTAGTTTTAAGAAGTAAATTGGGCGAAAATGAAATTGACTTATTAGGCTAATTAGACTACTAGTCGTAATTGCGAATGGAAATCCCTACAGGCATGGTATCTAGGCGCGTCACGAGTTTTAGTAACATATGAAAGACTTACTAGAACTGAATTAAACCCTATAGACATGGTATCTATATTTGAAATGATTTAAGACACGGTTGTTTGAAACCCTATGAACATGATTTCTAACATGACGAAAATGCAGAACCTTAAGAACATGATTCCTGTTTTGATGCAGACGACACTGGAAGTGAAGTCCTTATAGGCATGATTTCTATTATGATGCAAATGAAATTAGAAGTGGAATCCTATAGGCATGGTTCTATTATGCAAAAGCAATCAGAGTCAACAAGAATAAAAACCCTATGAACATGTTTCTATCGAGTGAAGCAGGCAGATTTGGAAGTAAACCTTAAGAGCAGGATTTCTACCCATGTTACCCTACAAAGCATACATCTACCCACCCCTTTTTACTAAGTACCCCAAATTTCTGTTTATAAATTATTACAGGCCAATAAATGAATTACATAAGTAAAAATAGAAAATCAAGAAGCTATTCTATTGAGAGCCTGCAATTAGTCCCAAGTTTCCCAGAAGCCTCCAATGGTCTTTCAAGCCTCATTTCCATAGATAAATCAGAGTCTAGGTGCATCAAAGTTCCCTAAGGCCTCATTTGTCTTTTTTTAAGATTAAGACGTCTGAATCTGAATACACATGTGAATATCAAGATGTGTATTAAGATTAACACATCTGAATCTGAATACACATCTAAATATATTAAGATGTGTATTAAGATCTGAATAGAAATAATTAAGACTGTTTGATTTTTAACATCTGAATGTATAAAATTTATTTTTATCTGAAAATTAATAAACATAAAATTCAAATGAAATACTAACTAATCTAATATTCTATCAATAAAATATATCGTTTCTTAAAGTATTATAGTTGGTGGTGGTGATGACTAACGGGTGAATGCCGACTAGAGGCGGTGGTTGGTGGTAGTTTTGGTTGATGATGGTGGTTCATGATAGTAGCTAGTAGTGATTGGTAGTGGTGGCGATTATGATTGAAGATGGTGGTGGTGGGTGGTGATAGTTAATAATGTCGGGTGGTGGTAGGTTATAATGATGGGCAGTGCCGGCTGTGGTTGTTGATGGTGATGGGGTGGTCAGTTGTGGTAGTTGAGGCAGATGAATGTTGATTGTGGGTGAGAATGATGGTGGTCGGAGATCTGGGGATAGTAGGTGGTGATGGTCGATAATGGAGGCTATGATTTAGGATGATGGTAGCGTGGTGATGGAGGTGGTGGTGGGGGTGGGGGTGGGGGTGGTAGTGGTAGGGTGGTGGGGGTGGTGGTGGTGGTGGTGGCGGCATGGTAGTAGTTGATAATAGTAGGCGGTGGCAGCAGTTAATAATGAATATGTGATAGCATCTTAATGAAATTAAGTCTCTGTTATAGATCTTAATCATACAGACCTATTCAGACCCATTAAGTGGTTGTGAAGTAGAAAAAACCAAACACACTTAATGATTAAGATCTGGATAATTAAGATTCAGACTTTAAAAACAAACACACTTAAGTGTATGAGATCTGAATGATTAAGATTTAGACCTCCATTAAGTGCAAAACAAATGAGGCCTAAGGGGTCTCAAGGACCCCGGGCGAACTGCGTTACACCGTAGACTTTAGTAGTCCAAAGCAT